CCCCATATGGCCCTGAAGCTTAAAGATTGGCAACAGCTTCACAAATGGAGGACGGGTCGTTTTCAAAATGTGCATCTCGCCTTAGCGCCGCGCACACTCGTTTCCAAAAATTGCAAGAGCTTTGCGGATTGAAAGCGACTGGTCTCACCTTAGCGCTGCACACATTCGTTCGAAACTTTGCAAGATCTTCACGGCTTGAGGGCGGTTCCTTTTCAAAATGTGGCTCTCGTCTAAGCGCCACGCACATTCATTGTAACATATTGCACGAGCTTCACGGATTGAGAGCGGGTGGTTCTCAAAATGTGGCTCTCCTCTGACCACCGCATTCGCTTTACCAATTTGCAAGAGCTTCACGGATTGAAGGCGACTGGTCTCGCCACAGCGCCGCGCACACTCGTTTCAAACTTTGCAAGAGCTTCACGGCTTGAGGGCCGTTCCTTTTCAAAATGTGGCTCTCGCCTTAGCGCCGCGCACATTCGTTGCAACAGATTGCAATAGCTTCACGGATTGAGGGCGGGTGGTTTTAAAAATGCGGCTCTCCCCTTAGCGCCGCATTCGTTTTAAAATTGCAAGATCTTCACGACTTGAGGGCGGTTCCTTTTCAAACTGTGGCTCTCGTCTAAGCGCTGCGCACATACTTTGTAAAAAAAATGCAAACGTTTCACGGATTGAGGGCGGGGGGTTTTCACAATGTGGCTCGGCCGGTCCCTTGTCAAAATGTGGCTCTCGCATTAGCGCCGAATACATTCATTTGTAACATTTGGAAGAGTTTCATGCGTTCCTATGATCAAATACCGAAACTGATGTTTTCGAAAAATTCAGGATTCTGCGAGCGTAACAGATCCGTTGATTCGCGGTGTTGGAATCCCAAGAATGGTGTTCTGGAACGATTCAAGCTCGTCGAAGCGCAACCGTCAGGACCGTCAGGTTGATCCGTGGCGCTGGAATCCCGAGAACAATGCTTTGACAAGCTTCAGAATCGTCAAACGGTTGTCTTCCGACGAGGCAGTTCCCTCAGTGGAGATGAACCGCTGCAGGAACCTATGACGATGGAGTTTGGAAGGAAGGGGTTATTCCAACATTGTTGATGACTGTTGGGTTTACACTGGTCCTCCTCCTCCTCCTGCTGCTCCTGTTCCTCCTCCTCCTCCTCCTCCTCCTCCTCCTCCTCCTCCTCCTCCTCCTCCCCCGCTCCTCCTCCTCCTCCTCCTCCTCCTCCTACTCATGTTGTTTCTTTTCCTCCTCCTCCACCTCCGCCTCCTCCCCCTCCTCCTCCTCCACATCCTCCTCCCCATCCTCCTCCACCTTTTCCTTTTCCCCCTCCTTTTCCTCCTCCTCTTCATGACCATCCTCCTGATCCTCGTCCCCCTCCCCCTCCGCGGCCGAAAGCCGAAACCAGTGGAAGCAGGGGGAAATAGACAAAAGGGGTGGAAGAGCTACTCCTGGCGGCAATTCGTTGCAATCGTTGCTGAGACCGACACAAAAGACGACGACCAGGATAAGGAGGCCGAGGAAATCAACAAGGACAACGACAAAAGAAACGGGAAATGTGAGACAACAGCGACGACTAGCGGAAGCAAAGGAAAGGAAGGGTCACGGCTCCCGTGCCCGCTTGCGGGGTCGGCTGCATTGGCGCGCTTTCGCAGGATTGGCGCTAGCTTTCGGGCGAGAGAGCGGGCGTACTTGGAAAGAGCTCCCTGGCAACTGCGCTGGCCACGCTATGTGCACCCGAAGCGAGCAGGCACACACGGGAATGGCGCGCGAGGGGCACGGAGGGACTCGGAACGAACACCAGCCCAAGGAGTCTTTCCTCTGAGAATCGGGGTAAAATGACAAAGGAATTAAGATATCATGTTCTCTCTGCTCAGGGAGAGAAGGGACGGGATGAGACATTGATAAGACAAGTATCCGCTAAGCAAGACTACTCTATCAGGAATGGGAAGGGAGGAGGTCGGCCGAGGACGGACGACGACGAGCCGCCCGCGCGCCGCAGCACACTCCTTTTCTCTCCTGCCAGCCGAGGTCGGCTGGCTCGAGCAGTCATACAGCTGCG